ATTTTTTCTTTTCCTTTTTTTTCTTTCCTTTTTAAAAATTTGTGTCTGTAACATTGCTTTCCAAAATTCCTGTTAACTGGCTAATTTTAAAGTGTAGTAAAAATATGCTAACATAATTTCATAGTAGCTTTCATCACAGTAGGGCTTTGGGATTTTGCTTTTTTTCCTTCGGAATAAAATCTTTGCTATTATTATACCTGAGAATTCTTTTAGTTTGCCACTTACATTGTAAATAATGTAACATTACTTAATCACATTTGTGTTTATTTTAGAATTTTCATAGCCGGCTAGAGTAACTATAATTATTCTGCCAAGAATTTGAACTTCGAATTCAACGTAAGAGCCTCCTTTCGGCTTAGACTACAAATTAGTGACTTTAATACCACATTCTGTTGGTACTTTGTTGAAATTTTTCAGTTAAAGAAATCTTCCAGATTAATGTTAAATACTAACCCAGGAAAAAAGTTTTAGGAATTTTTCCTATTGGTGGTGGTGGTGGTTTTTTGGTTTTTGTTTTTCTTGAGATGGAGCCTTTTTGTCGTGGGAAACGTGCTGAGTCCTCCAGTGACCTTGGTGGGATTCAGGGTAGCCAGACTGAGTTTTCCAGCTGAAGCTGCGGCCCTGAAGGCCATGCTTGGGGTCCAAGCCGCTCCAGTTTGCTGCTTCCTTCCTTTTCCCTATTTCTTCCTTTCCCCAAGAATGGTGCAGACTTCCTGCTGAGGCCTGTAGTTGGTGGACAGGCATCTTCTGGCCCTTTTCCCAAGAACCTCTTACAGAGCTTGAACTGCAGCTACTCCTCAGAATAACCATTTCTAAAATACGGGCCGGGCATGGTGGCTCACGCCTGTAATCTCAGCACTTTGGGAGACTGAGGTGGGCAGATTACCTAAGGTCGGAAGTTTGAGACCAGCCTGACCAACATGATGAAACCCCTTCTCTACTAAAAATACAAAAATTAGCTGGGCATGGTGACAGACGCCTGTAATCCCAGCTACTTGGGAGGCTGAGGCAGGAGAATTGCTTGAGCCCGGGAGACGGAGGTTGCAGTGAGCCGAGATCACACCACCGCACTCCAGCCTGGCCAACAGAGTGAGACTGTGTCTCAAAAAAAATAAAATAAAATATGTGTCTAGTCCCTATCTCGGACACTTTGGATTGGAATCTCTGGGGAAGTATTTTGAAAAATCATCTCATTCCACTCTCTCATTTTCAAACCTGTGTTCTAGAAGCTCTGACACACCCTGAGGTTCAGCGTGCAGTAAGTAGTTAAGTGAATATAAAGACAGGGAAGAAAAAGGGGTCTGACAAGTTGTCTACAGATTTGACTGAATAAAGAACTTTAGAAATCGCCCAATACCATCTGCCATTTACTGCTGAGGCAGCTACGAACCAGTCCCAAAAGATAATTGACTTTTCTAAGATGAGAAAATACTAGTACAGAGCCCAAGGTCCTGATTGTGATTTTTTTTACCTCTGGTCTATTGTTTCTTCTGTTTATTGGAATGTTTCCCTTTTCTCCTTATGTAGATTATCTAATTATAATATTTCACTTGTCTCTATACTGGATATGTATACAAAAATAATTTTCTTTCTTTTTTTGAGACAGAGTCTCACTCTGTTTCTCAGGCTGGAGTACAGTGTTGTGATCTCAGATCACTGCAACCTCCAACTCCTGGGTTCAAGGGATTCTCGTGCCTCAGCCTCCCAAGTAGCTGGGCTTACAGGCATGGGCCACAATGCCCAGCTAATTTTTGTATTTTTAGTAGAGATGGAGTTTCACCACGTTGGTCAGTCTGGTCTCAAACTCCTGACCTCGTGATCCGCCCACCTCGGCCTCCCAAAGTGCTGGGATTACAGGCATGAGCCACCGCACCCGGCCCCAAAATAATTTTCTTAAATAATAGAAAATGTGTAGTGGAAAGCTCTAGATACGTGTAGTACTTATCAATATGCTGATCCTTGGGGGCGAAAGGGCAGTTTTTTAAAGAATAAAAGTAATTAGTTAATTTTTATTAACTTGTGACAGTTCATGACCTTAATTTTTGAGCAGAGTCTCACTCTGGGCTAGAGTGCAATGGTGTGATCACAGCTTATTGCAATCTCAAACTCCTCTTCCCGCCTCAGCCTCCTGAGTAGCTGGGATTACAAGCATGAGCCTCCATGCTTGCTAATTTTTATATTTTTTGTAGAAGCAGGACCTAGCTTTGTTGCCCGGCTGGTCTCAAACTCCTGACTTTAGGCAGTCTTCCCACCTCAGCCTTCCAAAGTGTTGGGATTACAGGTGTGAGCCCTGTGCTCAGTCCTTAATTTTTATTAACATAAAATAACTGATAAGTTTAATTTTTATTGAAATAATTTTTAATCGAAAGCTAGTTTTCTAGTTTTAAATTATTACTTCTCAAGATAATGTACCGTTAAGTTAGTTTGATTTGAAGTAAGAGATTTTTGCTTTCCAGAGAAAAACTAGGTTGTTTTTAGGTTTTTTTTTTGAGACGGAGTCTCGCTTGGTCACCCAGGCTGGAGTGCAGTGGCACGATCTCGGCTCACTGCCACCTCTGCCTCCTGGGTTCAAGCAATTCTCCTGCCTCAGCCTCCTGAGTAGCTGGGACTACAGGTGCACACCACCAGGCCTACCAAATTTTTTTTTTTTTGAGACGAAGTTTCACTCTTGTTGCCCAGGTTGGAGTGCAATGGCGCGATCTTGGCTCACCGCAGTGTCTGCCTCCTGGTTCAAGCGATTCTCCTGCCTCAGCCTCCCGTGTAGCTGGGATTACAGGCACGCGCCACCACACCCAGCTAATTTCGTATTTTTAGTAGAGACGAGTTTTCTCCATGTCGGTTAGGCTGGTCTCGAATTCCTGACCTGAGGTGACCTGCCTGCCTCGGCCTCCCAAAGTGCTGGGACTACAGGCGTGAGCCACTGTGCCTGGCCACGCCTGGCTAATTTTTGTAGAGACAGGGTTTTGCCACGTTGCCCAGACTGGTCTCAAACGCCTGAACTCAAGCAATCGGCCCGCCTCAGCCTCCCAGAGTGCTGGGAGTACAGGTGTGAGCCACCGTGCCGGCTCTGCTCCCTCCCTTTCAGTGAGTCACCAAGTGATCTTGCTCCTGCCTCTACGCTTCTCCTTTCTCTGTCCACTCCCATTCCCATAGTTAGACCCTCATCTCCCCGAGGCTATTGCAGCAAGCCTTCTACCAGGTTTCTCTGCCTCCCACGCTGCCGCCCTTCCCCTAAACTGTCCAACACCGTTATGCCATAATGATACAGATTTAAAAAATGTTTTTAAACCCCTGGTACCTGTGAACACAGTGATGTTCTTAACGCCTAAATGGAATGATCTCCCTTGCGTACTTGAAGATTTTAGGGCTTCCCCTTGTCTATATAATGAAGTCCAAGTGCCCTGGGTGGGCACACAAGGCCTCTCATGACCTGGATGCTTCTCTTTGTCCAGAGTTTCTGTCCAGCTCCATCTGTTGCAGTTCCCCCTTGCGTCCTGCGCTCCATCAGAGATGATCTCCTCTAGTTATTTGAATGCTCCGTGAGGTCTCTCACTGCCCTCCCTGCCTTGGCACGTTTCTCTGTGCTTTAAATGCGGACCCCTTCTTGACTACCGCTCCCCTCTGACACACAGCAGCCAGCCAGTCAGTTCTTCCTTGGTGCCGCGGAGCGTTTTTTCTCCAGTGTGTTTAAAATTGTGTGTGCTTTTTAGCTTTCTCCACCAGACTGACCTCATACAGAACGAAGGAGTCTTCATCATTTTAACATTCCCAATGCCTAGCCCAAGCTTTGGCACAGGTGGGCATTTAGTAAGCGATATGAAACACTGTTGATGAAACTGAGGATTTTTAGAGGAGGAAGCAGTGTACTTAATGGAGGGCTGAATGGATCTATCCGAGTTTTAAAATGGCACGTGGGAGAGGGATTCGATTACCTGCGTGGCTTTCGATGGCCAACGTTACATTGAGGGAGAAGTAGGCTGCTGGCTGCAGTATAAGATGCACACAACAGGAACGTGTGCAATGACAGTGCCTTCCTGCCCTTGTTGAGAATCGGGGGTTAGACAGGTTGAGTCTTGGTGTGGCCACTAAATTTGGGCTTTTCTGGGTATTAGTTTCTTTGGCTTTTGACAGAAAAAATGGAGATTATACTATGTCTATGGTTATAATAGCTCATAACATTATTTTAATTTTTGTGGGTACATAGTAAGTGTATATATTCATGCAGTACATGAGATGGGTGTTTTTTGCTTTTTGGGGTTTTTTTGAGATGGAGTCTCATTCTGTCGCCCAGGCTGGGGTTCAGTGGTGCTATCTTGGCTCAGTGCAACCTCTGCCTCACAGTTTTAGGCGATTCCCCTGCCTCAGCCTCTGAAGTAGCTGGGTTTTCAGGCGTCCACCACCACAGCCGGCTAATTTTTGTATTTTTAGTAGAGACAGGGTTTCACCATGTTGGCCAGGCTGGAGTCAAAACTCCTGACCTCAAGGGATCCGCCTACCTTGGCCTCCCAAAGTGGTGGGATTACAGCTGTGAGCCACTGCACCCATCCTGGGGTACATTGCATGTTTTGATACAAACAGGCCATGCCTAATTATCACAGCATGTAAAATGGGGTATCTGTTCCACTCAAAACATTTATCCATCCTTTGTGTTACAGATGATTCAGTTATACTCTAGTTATTTTAAAATGTACAATTAAATCGTTGTTGACTATAGTCACTCTATTGTGCTATCAAATACTGGACCAACTGTAGAAATGATCCTGGAAAGTACAGTCTTGCTCATAACATTGTTTTGAGGATTAAATGAGTTAATATCTCAGGGTGCCTAGGCTAACGCATAGCATTGAATAAGGCTTAATAAATGTTGATCGAATTTGAGTTAGTCTCCTGTTTCTGGATGCTTTTAGTAAAACGTTACTTTTGTGTTAAATATAAGTTACGTGTGTGCATAAACTGACACCAGTAACAAAGAGATTCAGTTGCCTTTTCTTCTTCCAAAGGTTTATTCATTGTACTGATGATTCTCCAGATCCATGTATAGAATATGAGGTAAGAAGCTTATTTTCCTTGATAATCGTAGATGAGGATGTGTTGAGAATTGCTATTTATTCTTAAGTGAAATGAAACGAATGAAGTTGCTTGGATTAATTTCTTTGGGAACCTAAAGCCACTGAAATTTTACATTTATGAAATATACACATAAAAGGATATATATTATGTATAGAATATATATAGTAAATATGTGTATGCAGTATACACTTGCTACAGGATATATGCAGACACCTTTAACAAAACAAACACCTTTTTACGCCGCACAGCTGCACCTCATTGTTTCAGCATTTTACCATTTTTTATACTGTTCACTCACCTTACAAATAACTTATAAGAATAAGAAGATAGGCCAGGCACAGTGGCTCATGCCTGTAATCCCAGCACTTTGAGAGGCCGAGGTGGGTGCATCATCTGAGGTCAGGAGTTCGAGACCAGCCCGGCCATCATGGCGAAACCCCACGTCTCTACTAAAAATACCAAAGTTAATCTGGGCATGGTAGTGGTCGCCTGTAATCTTAGCTACTCGGGAAATTGAGGCTGAAGAATTGCTTGAACCCTAGAGGTGGAGGTTGCAGTGAGCTGAGATGGTGCCATTGCACTCCAGCCTGGGTGACAAGAGTGAAGCTCTGTCTCAAAAAAAAAAGACGATGGTGAAAAAACAACTTCATTAGAAATTTTGATGAGTTTAAACATAGTAAACCTCAATTTTTATTCCAAATTTTCCTAGTTTTGAAAGTATACACACAAAACACACACGCACATACCCTGATCTGCACCAGGTTCTTTTTTTTTTTTTTTTTTTTTGAGACGGAGTCTCGCTCTGTCGCCCAGACTGGAGTGCAGTGGCCGGATCTCAGCTCACTGCAAGCTCCGCCTCCCGGGTTCACGCCATTCTCCTGCCTCAGCCTCCCGAGTAGCTGGGACTACAGGCGCCCGCCACCTCGCCCGGCTAGTTTTTTTGTATTTTTTAGTAGAGACGGGGTTTCACCGTGTTCGCCAGGATGGTCTCGATCTCCTGACCTCGTGATCCGCCCGTCTCGGCCTCCCAAAGTGCTGGGATTACAGGCTTGAGCCACCGCGCCCGGCCTATAGCTACAACTAACTGCTCATCAACTGTCGTGAATGGATCCGAAACATAACTTTTTTTTTTTTTTTTTTTTTTGGAGACACAGTTTTGCTCTGTTGCCCAGGCTGGAGTGCAGTGGCACGATCTCAGCTCATTGAAACCTCCACCTCCTGGACTAAAGCAATTCTCCTGCCTCAGCCTCCTGAGTAGCTGGGATTACAGGTGTGCACCACCACCACCCAGCTAATTTTTGTATTTCTGGTAGAGACTGGGTTTCACCATGTTGACCAGGATGGTCTCGAACTCCTGACCTCAAGTGAAACGCCTGCCTCAGCCTCCCAAAATGCTGGGATTACAGGTGTGGGCCACTGCGCCCGGCCTAACTTTCTTCTAAATGCAGACTCCACGTTTCAGCTCTCATTCCTGGTCCTTCTTGCACTTGCATTGTCAAAATGCAAACTTTCCAAAACTTTGACAACTCATAGTTTGTTGAAAAGAGAATGGTCATCTTTGCTCCATAATTGCATTTTTACATTTACGTGAAAATTACATTTCATTGTTGGTCTTGTAACACCAATTCGAATTAGTGCAGTAATTTTAAAAATATATCTTTAGTGTCTGTTTGCTTCTAGCTACTTTTGTACGTATGTACACATGCTTTCAAAATTGGTCTGTTGACTCACTGTGTTGAGTAATTTTTAATGTGTTGACTGTAGATAGACTTCTCTTTTAGGATTATACCGTATGCATGGAGCAGTTAATTTACTAGTTAAGTGACTTCTTACCAAGCCACCAATTACTAGATCTTAGAGTGCTTGTAGGTGAGATTCTTACATACAATCTGTGAGATTTTTTTTCCCTTGCTTAATAGCATCGTGTGAGCATTTTCCCAGCTTATTAAACACTTCTATAACTTTAAATAATATAGTCATAGCTATTGCTTCACGCAATAAACAACTATTAAGTACCTGGCTGTGGTGCTTCTGCCAGGTACTAGAAAGAGATAATTTCCTTAGCCTTTCTCTGAGGCACAGTCTTTTTTAAGAAGTCATCATCTACCTCCAAGATTTATTTACCAGCAGTTTGCTCTCTTATTGCCATTTTGAAAGACACCATTATCATGTGTATAAGATTTAAAACTCAATTTTAGAAGTGTAGGAAAGTGATACTCTTCAAGTAATTCAAATTTAAAAAGTTGCAAGTAGAATCCTGTGTATTGTTTTCTCCTGTCTGTGTGTATTTAAAATACACACACACACACACACACACACACTCTCTCTCTCTCTCTCTCTCTCTCTCTCTTTATATATAGTTATGTATTCATAGGATAAATCTGGAAAGATGCACAAGAAACCTATAGCACTGGTTGCCTCTGAGGAGAAAGACAGAGGGACAGGGTGGGGGAGAGAGAGAAACTCCCTATGCCCTTCTGTGTTTTGTGAAAATCAACCAGAGTGTATGTATTACCTATACAAAATAGTATTTTGATAAACATTATGCAAATTTTCCAGTAAATTGTGTGCTACAATTGCTTATTTATTTGTTGCTAAGTAAAACCACTGTAGCCTCTCTCTCTCTCTCTCTATATATATATATGTGTATATATATATAAAATTATGTATGTATATGCCTGTATGGGCTTTTAATAGATAGGAACTGTGTAATATTTTAGTGTCAGATCCATTTAATAATTACATTTTTTTAAAAAATCAGATAATAAGGCTTGACTAAGAGCTTATAATAAATGAAAAATGAAATCAGTGCATTTAAAATTTCTAAGGCATATTTTAAACATTTTTTTTAAATACATAAAATGTCCCACCTGAAATTTTCCTGATTTTTAAGATGAGAAACTTATTACTATAGTATATGGGAGTTTATATATATTAAATAATTATTAATTACAGTAATAAGACCCATTTGTGATTTGGGCCAAGGGTAGAATTGATTGACTAAAATATTGAGAAAATAGTGAGAGAGTTGTTTTGGTGATTCATTGTGACAAACCTCAATAATAATTATATCAAAGTAAGGATTACCTCTTGGTACTTAAGGTAGACAAGTTTAGAATTATTTTATTTTATTTTATTTTTGAGATAGCGTCTTGCTCTGTTGCCCAGGCTAGAGTGCAGTGATGCAGTCTCAGCTCCCTGCAGCCTCTGCTTCCTGGGTTCAAGCGATTCTCGTGTCTCAGCCTCCCTAGTAGCTGGGGCTACAGGTGCCTGCCACCACGCCTGGCTAATTTTTTGCATTTTTAGTAGAGATGGAGTTTCACCATGTTGGCCTGGCTGATCTCAAACTCCTGACCTCAGGTGATCTGCCTGCCTCAGCCTCCCAAAGTGCTGGGATTACAGGAGTGAGCCACTGCGCCTGGCTGGAATTACTTTATTATTTGATATTCCTCAAGGGGTGCAGAACATATGAATGGACATATGGCACTGTGGTGAAAAGATGTAACTACGTTCTTGATGGTGTGCTTGTATGTGAGAACTCTCAAAATGGCAGCTACCTGACAAGGATGCGTTTTGTCATAGAATTTTAGCACAATTGTCTTGCGGTTATTAGAATAATAGATCACAACTCTATTCCCTACATCTCATGTTAAGAATTTTTTTTTTTTTTTTTTTTGAGATGGAGTTTCACTCTTGTTGTCCCCGCTGGAGTGCAATGGCGTGATCTTTGCTCACTGCAACCTCCGCCTCCTGGGTTCAAGTGATTCTCCTTCCTCAGCCTCCTGAGTAGCTGACAGGCATGTGCCACCATGCCCAGCCAAGAATGTTATATGATGCCTCTTTTTAAAAAACCATTTGATAATGGCAATCATTAAGATACAGTGTTGACCTAAAATTGCCTAGCAGACCTTACCATATGGTTGTGTTATATTAAATATTCTGTCCTTTGTCTACAGCTTGTTCTCCGAAAATGGTGTGAATTGATTCCTGGCGCTGAGTTTCGATGTTTTGTCAAGGAAAACAAGCTTATTGGTGAGTTTTTTTTTGTTTGTTTTATCCTTGAAAGTCATCTTTAAAAGAAGACAAGCTTTTGTTGGAAGTAAATTTCCAGTAATTAGGACTGGGATGTCAATCTGTTTTCATCTCAGATGCCACCTCTAACCAGTTGATACTGACTCTCTGGAATGCCGTGTTGACAGGAATCCCGAGCCCAGATTCACTTGCCACAGGAAACGGTGTTGTCAGATAATCATGGCTGGCTGGATTCCAGAGATTAAAGTGGTGGTTGTCACTATTCCTGATTTAGGAATCAGGAACTCTGTATGGAATTTTCCTAAACAGTACTTAGCAATAGTCTGCTTATTTTAAGCGTCATAAAAAGTCAAGTTTTGGAACCTTTATTTCTATTATTGGGGCACTATTTATTATTCTAGCAAGAGAAAATATGTGGACAAGTAAGTGTATTCTTCTAAGACACCCATTTTATTTCCTCTCAGGTTACTATTTTGTTTGCTATGATTTATTTAAGTGAAATATTGAAGATAATTCGTTCTTTATTTTGTTTATGCATGTTTTCCATGAAGTAAAATTTATCTTCAACCGAGAAAAGTGTAATTTGAATACAATCAAATCAGCAGTATTGATTCATTGAATGTGATGTTGAAATGTGTTAACCCACCTGAAAGAAAGTTGGGGTGTTCGCATTTCTCATATTGCTCGATGTTCTTGGGGAAGCTGCAGTGTAGGTGCTCTAAAGGAGGGGGTCCTGTTGGCACATGATTGAGGAATAGGAAACCCGAATTTCAGAGCAGAGAACTTTTCCCTAGGACTGGAGCAAATTCAGGGAGTTTGTGTAATAGTCCCGTTAGTGTGTTTGGACTCATGTCAGCAAGTCACTCTGAAAAAAGGAATGTTTACTTTTCCATGGCTTGAATGAGCAGGCTGTGAAGGCCAAGTAGCACGTATGAACAAGAAAAATAGACTGCTTCTAGACAATACAGTATGAATATGGCAGGCATCTGGTGAAGAATGATATTTTCCCAAAGAAAGTGGAAGAGTATACCAATTTGCAGAGACTTCTTTGGAGGAAATCAAAGCAGCAGCAGTTGATTACGTGTGCAGGCTTAGAATTGCTGCTTTAATTTTTTACATAACAAGACTTTTTGTGACTTCGAATTCCTTCCATTTTACTAAATGAAAATAACTGTTTCCATGGGCTAGGTGCTGTGGCTCACACCTGTAATCCCAACAGTTTGAGAGGCCAAGGCTGGAGGATTGCTTAAGGTCAGGAGTTCAAGACCAGCCTGGGCAATGTACTGAGACCCCGTCTCTACAAAAAATAAAACGATGAGCCAGGCATGGTGGCACATGCCTGTAGTCCCGGCTACTCGGGAGACTGAGGTGTGAGGGTCACTTGAGCTCAGGAGGTGGAGGTTGTGATAAGCTGTGATTGTGCCACTGTACTCCAGCCTGGGCAACAGAATGAGACCCTGTCTCTAAAAGAAAAAAGAAAAAAAGAAAAAAGGCCGAGTGTGGTGGCTTATACCTGTAATCCCAGCACTTTGGGAGGCCGAGGTGGGTGGATCATGAGATCAAATTCAAGGCCAGCCTGGCCAAGATGGTGAAAGACCGTCTCTGCTAAAAATACAAAAAAAAAATTAGCCAGGCGCGGTGGCAGGTGTCTGTAATCCCAACTACTCGGGAGCTGAGGCAGGAGAATCGCTTGAACTTGGGCAGCAGAGGTTGCAGTGAGCCAAGATCATGCCACTGCACTCCAGCCTGGGCAATAGAGTGAGACTCTGTCTCAAAAAAAAAAAAAACAGTAAATTCTTCCAGAAGTAAGAAGACATGGCAGTGTAGTACTTCAGGATTCCCCTGTTCATATGAATCCTTACAGCTGGGTCGTGTGTAATGCAGTACCCATCCAGGTGATCTTCTGATCTACTTTAATGGTTCTTTCCACAAAATGTTTAAATCACGTATTGATGTTTTTGAAAAGAATATTGTATAATAACAGAATGTAAAATATTTTCTTGTCAGGTATTTCTCAAAGAGACTACACACAATACTATGATCATATTTCTAAACAAAAGGAAGAAATTTGCAGATGTATACAAGACTTTTTCAAGAAACACATACAGTACAAATTCTTAGATGAAGACTGTGAGTATTTTTTTATTGATCCAGTAAAATGAAATGAAATATACAGTGTTGCTGGACCTTATTTACTATGGTGTATATCCTAATAACTAGATTTGAAATACTGTATTTTAAGTATTTTACTATATTATTATTTGTTATTTTTGATAGTTTGTATGTTAATTTCTTCTTCTTATTATTATTTTTTTTATCTGGAGACAGTCTCACTCTGTCACCCAGGCTGGAGTGCAGTGGTACGATCTTGGCTCACGCAGCCTGCATCTCTTGGGTTCAGGTGATTCTCCTGCTTCAGTCTCCCAAGTAGCTGGGGCTACAGGTGCACATCACCACACTCGACTAATTTTTTGTATGTTTAGTAGAGATGGAATTTTGCCATGTTTGCCAGGCGTGGTCTTGAGCTCCTGGCCTCAAGTGATCCGCCTACTTCAGCCTCCCAGTGTGCTGGGATTACAGGTGTGAGCCACCGCACCAGCCATGTTAATTCCATCTTACTTAACTAAAATCTGTTTTTACTGCGAAGTCAGTTCCCCCTCTTATTTTAGATGTTTGATTGTATATTTCAAAGGGGCTGTCTACAGAGAACAAAGTCCATCTACCTTTCCAGCTTCTCTGAATGATCAAAGACAGCACCAATTACAAAGTAAACATTTGTGGGTTGTTTTTAGGAATTGAAAGTATATTGTGTGAGAGTTTTCATACATCTGAAAATTATATCTGCTATGATTGACATTTTCTCTACTTGCCAAGACTGGGCTCTGTGGCAGATTTGATTTAAAATAAGATGAATCATGCTTCAGGCCTCATTCGATTTTCTGCTTTGTATTATAAGCTTTGCTCATTGCATTCTCCCGGATCAGTGATTGATGCCCCTTTCACCAGTACTTTGCTCAGTGACTCCTCCCATCATTCCCATAGAACCAGTCTATGATGGGGAACTGGTTGAGATGATGTTGGTGTTTGGTTTGAATTTTTAAATATAGGGGATTATGGTTGGGGAACAGAGAACAGTAAAGCAAAGTTACATAAATAAAACATGGCAGGATGCCTTTTTATGTTTGAAGTTTTGAGATTTAGAAGCATTAAGTCCTCAGGGTCATTTATATTCTGTTGTCTTTGATTAAAACAAAAGGAGATTTACATCATGAAATATTAGTTCATTAATAACGGACTTTTTTTCTCCTTTACAGTTGTGTTCGATATATACAGAGACAGTAGGGTAAGTAAAAACTGTCTGATATGCTTTAAAATAAGAGCTGGTTTTATAAGCAGGCAGAGCATGCCTTTGCTATGTGTGTGAAGGATCTACTGCTCAAAAAATGTTTTGTCTGGGTGCAGCAGCTCACGCCTGTATTCCCAGCACTTTGGGAGGCTGAGGCAGGGACATCATTGGAGCTCAGGAGTTTGAGACTAGCCTGGGCAACATAGTGAGACCTCATCTCTACTAAAAATAAAAAAAAATCAGCCCAGGCCGGGCACAGTGGCTCACCCCTGTAACCCCAGCCCTTTGGGAGGCCAAGGCAGGAGGATCACTTGAGGTCACAAGTTCGAGATCAGCCTGGCCAACATGGTGAAACCCCATCTTTACTAAAAATACAAAAAAATGAGCCAGGCATGGTGGCGGGTGCCTATAATCCCAGCTACTCAGGAGGCAGAGGTTGCAGTGAGCCGAGATTGCACCATTGCGCTCCAGCCTGGGCAACAGAGCGAGACTCTGCCTCAAAAGAGAAAAAAAAAAATCTCCAGGCCTGGTGGTGTGTGCCTGTAGTCCCAGTTATGCAAGAGGCTGAGCTGGGGGGATCCCTTGAGCCCCGGAATTCACGGCTGCAGTGGGCCTTTGTTGCGCCACTGCTCTCCAGCCTGGGTGACAGAGTGAGACCCCATCCCCTCCTCAAATTTTTTTTTTCCCTCACACCAACTAAGGTGTTTGAAATTCACCATGGTCAAAAATCTCCCCTTAAAATATACCTAACATTAGGGGACTTAATACCTGAAATCATTGTGTACCATGATTTAGGGATTCTTTATCGAGCCGGTCGGTAAATGGGCACCTTCCATCCTACTTCCCATTTGTGTCCGAGGTCAGGGCCTGCTTAAAATAGTTCAGTTTGCACACTTAAATGCGGCCAGGAGTTGGTCACTTGATATTTCTATAATTATTTTGGCTGGGTGCGGTGGCTCAGGCCTGTAATCCCAGCACTTTGGGAGGCCAAGGCGGGCAGATCACCTGAGATGGGGAGTTCGAAACCCGCCTGACCAATATAGAAAAACCCCGTCTCTACTAAAAATACAAAATTAGCCAGGCATGGTGGCGCATGCCTGTAATCCTAGCTACACGGGAAGCTGAGGCAGGAGAATCGCTTGAACCGGGAGGTGGAGGTTGCAGTGAGTCGAGATCGCGCCATTGCACTGCAGCCTGGGCAACAAGAGCAAAACGCTGTCTCAAAAAATAATAATAATGATTATTATTATTTTAAAAGTGACTCAGAGTTTGAGTTAGTTTTATTTTTAGACGGAAGAGGATTAGTTTATTTTTTAAATCCTGAAAGTGATGAAAACTTCTGTAAGGAAAAAGTTAAAGTGACTTATTAGTAAACTGACGTACTGCTGACTTAATGAAGAATTACTAGAGCAGAGATTTCACTGCCCAAGACATGTCATCTTTATTAAGAAGTTTAAGGCACTAAATGCTGTTTGGTGCTGAGTGCTCTTTGACATTGTGAAGAAGCTAGCAGATGCGTTTTCCCGTGTGTCACAACACACGAGCAGAATGTTTCTCACTCCCCCTCCGTGCTTAGATCAGCCTCATTGTAAGTGAGACAGTCATTTGATCTGAATCACCTTTGGACATCTTTGAATCATCTTTGGACAAAAAGATATGGCCCATATGGTCATGTCCCAGAATAACTGTTAACTGTTCATTTAACGCTTACGTCAGAAGACATCACTCTATTTTCACCTCATTGTCTTCAAAGATGATGGTGTCTGTTAAGAGTTACTAGAAGGAGGGGCTTTAGGCCATTGTGGTGGCTCACGCCTATATTTTCAGCACTTTGGGAAGCTGAGGTGGGAGGATGGCTTGAGCCTAGGAGTTCGAGATCAGCTGGGCTGAACATAGTGAGACCTCGTCTCTACGTAAAAATGAGCCGGGTGTGGTGGTTTGTGTCTCTAGCCCCAGCTCCTCCCGGGAGCTGAGTTGGGAGGATTGCTTGAGACTGGGAGGTTGTGGCTGCAGTGAGCCATGATCATAACTGTCATGCCTATCAGTGTACACCAGGTTGTGTCTGGTCTTCTGCAGACTGCCATGGTGAATAATCCCGTACGTGTGTCATTTCCCACGTTGCAGGTGAATCTACAGGGTGAATTCCTAGAAGCGGGATTGCTGGCTCAAAAGTGAAATGAATTTTAATGTTGACAGATACTGCAGTTTACCCTCCCTAGAGGTTACATCTGACCAGATCCCCCCGGGAATGCATCAGAGTACTTGCAGGCTTCCTCTGAGCTTGCCATTACAATATAGGGTCACACTCTTCAGGGTTTCGGGGTTTCATAGAGAAATGATGTCTCAGTATACTTTCTATTTCTATTTTTCTTAGTAAATGAGGATGAGGTTTATCTTTTCGTATATTTAAGGGTTGTTTCTATGAACCATTGCTTCGTGTCTTTTTCACTTTTTTCTATTATTTTCCTCAAAATAGAGGCACTGTTTAGGTATTACAGAGGCCTTTGTCATTAATCTTTTCCTGTGAACAAGATCACCTATATTATTTGCTTCTTTTCTGGCTTTTGAATTTTAGCCATCATTGAAAAAAATACTTCCCCATGGTTTTTGTCTAGTTCTTTTGTAATTTCTTGTTCTCCATTTCAGTATTGGGTCTGTTTGGTGTTCGTTCCTTTGCGTGTTTGGTATGCGGTATGGATCCCCCTTAGTCTTTTTGTCTGCACCAATATTTTTATATTTATATTAGACTGTCCTTCAGATTGATGATGATTTCCCAAGTTCTTAGGGCGTTAATCCCTGTTGCGTTTGCAGACTCTCGTTCGGGCTGGTTGTTTCTTTTTTGTTTTGTAAATCAGTTTATTTTACTTTGAGTTCGTCTTCAGTGAGCTTGTCCTTTTTTTAATGAGAATCCCAAAGATCCTAAATTTTGGATTTTTCATTTGCTTCTACCATGTTCCCCAAAACTTATTCAGAGGACAATGTCATTGTCTCCTGCCCCTCTGTTAGAACTGTCTCCTCACACCCGTTTCCTGAGGCTGTGGCCTTCTGGAGTTGGCGTCTGAGTTCTGATTCCCTTCCCGTGGCCAGTCTGCTAGGAGACCCTCCCTCAGGTTCCCACGGCACTAGAGTTGATTCGTTTAGTTCTGTTCTTCGGATTCTTCTTGTTTCTGGCCCCTGGGGATTTCCCGGTCTTTCTCATAATCTCAATTACACTTTTAAAGGGCGTGTCATAGCATGTGTTTCATCCTGTTTGGAACAGCAGGCCTTGAGAGTTACCACAGCTGGCTGTGTTTCTGGAGCCCTCACATATCTCACACTCCAGCCAAAATAACCTGTTCCCACAATGGGCGGTCGTGGCGTGGCCTCTGCACATGAGAGCCGCCGTTCTTGTTAAGTGGTCCGCTTTTCCTGCCAACACCACCTTCCTCCCAGAGCATCGCTGTTATCCCTCAGGTGCCCAGGTCCTTTGGGAAGCGTTTCCAGCCTTCCCTCGCACATGTAGGCACACTCTCCTTTGTGCCTCTCCATTCTCACAATTCCCTGTTCTTGCCTCTCTCGAAGCAAAATACCCTGCACATTGCCATTGTTGAATGGTTTTTGGTTCTGTTTCGGGGAGGAGATGTGTGTTCTGCTCAAGCCTGAGCTCTTGGAAGGAATCGATTCTGTGTTACGATCTTCATACCCTAGTGCCTAACACAGTGTCTGGTCCCTACAGCTTGATCGGGATAGGGGGACAGTCAGTTGGTGCAAGGACAGTTAGTCCAACTGCTCTTTGCTTATTGGATTGTCTCGAAGCAGAATTAACTTCTCAGGCTGTTTTTGCTTGAGATGTCATGTGAAAACATGTTATGGCTGGGCGTGGTGGCTCACGCCTGTAATCCCACCACTTTAGGAGGCTGAGGCAGGCAGATCACCTGAGGTCAGGAGCTCAAGACCAGCCTGGCCAACATGGTGAAACCCCATCTGTACTAAAAATACAGAAATTAGTCAGGCACAGTGGCAGGTGCCTGTAATCCCAGCTACTTGGGAGGCTGAGGCAGGAGGATCACTTGAGCCCAGGAGGAGGAGGTTGCAATGAGCTGAGATCACGTGACTGTACTCACAAAAACAGGGCAAGACTCTGTCTCAAAAAAAAAGTTATGGCTGGGCACGGTGGCTCACACCTGTAATCCCAGCACTTTGGGAGGCTGAGGTGGGCGGATCACGAGGTCAGGAGATCGAGACCATCCTGGCTAACACGGTGAAACCCCATCTGTATTTTTAAAAAAGGCAAAAAATTAGCTGGGTGTGGCGGCGGGCGCCTGTAGTCCCAGCTACTTGGGAGGCTGAGGCAGGAGAATGGCGTGAACCCGGGAGGCGGAGCTTGCAGTGAGCCGAGATCACGCCACTGCACTCCAGCCTGGGCAACTGAGCGAGATTCTGTCTCAAAAAAAAAAAAGTTATAAAATCTTGATCCTGATCCTCCTACTTTATTAAAGCCTGATTATAGCTGGGTTTTTTTGCTTCCTCATTTTTTTGTACTAGAGGATAGCTTGTGAGCTACAGAGTACACTGCCAATTAAAGTGGTGGTTTGTTTTCATTTAAAAATGTGTTTTGGGCTGGGTGCAGTGGCTAATGCCTGTAATCTCAGCACTTTAGGAGGCCAAGGTGGGCGGATCACCTGAGTTTAAGAATTGGAGACCAGCCTGACCAACATGGTGACACCCAGTCTCCACCAAAAATAGAAAATTAGCTGGGCATGGTGGCGCATGCCTGTAGTCCCAGCTCCTTGGGAGGTGGAGGCAGGAGAATTGCATGAACCCAGGAAGGGGAAGTTGTGGTGAGGTGAGATCACACCATTGCACTCCTGCCTGGGCCACAAGAGTGAAACTGTGTCTCAGAAAAAAAAAGGAAAAAATGTGTTTTAGTTTTTTGCATTGTGGCATATTCCTATATTAAAGATGTGATAGTTTAAAAAAATAATGAGTTCGTTTTACTGATTATAAAAAGCCAAGTAGAGGCTGGGCACAGTGGGTCACACCTGTAATCCCAACACTTTGGGAGACGAAGCCAGGCTGATCATGAGGTCAGGAGA